AAAAAAAAAAAAAAAAAAAAAGAATGGAGCCAAATGCATAGGGTCTTGGATCTCAGTTGCAGTGTAATGTAGCTTCATAGACAGCGAAGCTGATATTTTAAGGCTTTTCTGGATTATGTGTCTGTTACTGCATCACTTCAGAATCTAGTGAAGGAGAGATGTGAGTAGTTACCAAGTAGCCAGAACTACAGGTGTGCGCTACCACACCCAGCTAATTTTTTTGATTTATTGTAGAGATGAGGTCTCGCCAAGTTGCAGAGGTGGGTCTCCAACCTGTAGGCTCAGGCAATCCACTTGCTTCGGCCTCCCAAAGTGCTAGGATTACAGGCTGAGTCACCGAGCCTGGCCTTGTTTGCATTCTTTAGGAGCCAGGTGCACAATATTGAGTTTACCCTTGGAAGAGAAAAAACATCATGCAGCCTGAAGACAGACAAACTTACTAAAGAGCACAGTCCTCATGATTCAGAAAATTATGTCTCCTCTTCTTACATGGAAAACTTAACTGCTTAATACATGAGAAGGGGAGAAAAGAAAGGAGAAAGGAAAAAAGAGAGAGAGAGAAAAAAGAACAGAAACTCTGGGGACACAATGGAGGAAATGGTCACTCTACTTGGGGCTAATAAGAGAGGCTTACCATTACAAACTTATTCATTATATCTGGATCTTTGTGCTATTTGCATATCATCTAATGTCTTTACCTTTCAACACTCATAACCCCTGACCTCTAACTATCAAGTAGAAGACTGTGACCCAATCATTTAAAAATACCTGTAGTTCCTTAAGCGAGTCTTGCTGTTTAATTTGCCTGCATAGCAAAGTATTTTTCTATTCTGATTCTGTACTCTGCTCATCTTAAACCCCTGCTCTAGTATCATCATCACTGTGAAAGCCTCTCTAATTGACCCCAAGTAGAGTGACCATTTCCTCCATTGTGTCCCCAGAGTTTCTGTTCTTCTCTCTCTCTCTCTTTTGAGACAGGGTCTCTCTCTGTCAGCCAGGCTGGAGTGCAGTGCTACAATCATAACTCACTGCAGTCTCAAACTCCCAGGTTCAAACAGTCCTTCTTCCTCAGCCTCTTGAGTAGCTGAGACTGTAGGTGTATATCACCATGCTAAGTTAATATTTTAAAATTCTATTTCTTTTATTTTTGTAGAGATAGAATCTGGCTATGTTGCCTAAGTTGATCTCAAACTTCATCCAATTTGCTCAGAAGTCCATGATTTTGTTCTTCTTTATGGCTGTGTAATATTCCATTGTGCATATGTACCACATTTTCTTTATCCAGTCTGCTTTCAGTGGGCAGTAGGGTTGATTCCATGTTTTTACTGTTGTAAAAAGTACAGCAATAGACATGTACATGCAAGTGTCTAATTTTTTTGATTTATTGTAGAGATGAAGTCTCATCATGTTGCCCAGACTGGTCTTGAACCCTTGGGCTCAGGCAGTCCTCTCCCTTCCTCAGTCCAAAGTGCTGGGATTACAGGCGTGAGCCACCATGCTCAGCCACTCTGGCTTCTATGTTCTTTAGGAACTTACTTCAGGAGTTAGAAAATTAAAACTGGCCTACATCTCACACTGGCCACATTTATGGCACCTGCCTTTCCCTGTGCAAAGAAAAGATGGATGGAGCTGGACTTACAGGAGAACCAAGTCATGACAGCCTGTTTTTATGTTGTTTTCAGCAAGCTTCTGTCAGTTTTGGTCACCTCCCTTCTGCTGGAACATGCTGAATCCAGCAAGTCCAGTGAGATCAGCTCTGCCGCCTGACTCCATTGGCTTCTGGTCATCTGACAATACTTTGACTGCCCTCAGGATTTGCTTTACCCCTCCTCTGAGCATACTTGCTGCTCAGGCAACTTCCTTCAGTCTTGCATTTCAGCTCATCATCTTCAGCCACCCTGGATCATGGCTCTGCTATTCCCTTTGATCCTTGGTGAGTAGCTCTGCTCCTGGTGGGATAGGCTTCAGGGTTTTCTGGAATTTTGATGAGAATCTTCTCCCTGCTTACCTGGTGCTGATTGAGGTTTCTTTCAAGGATGGGTTTCTCCCTCCCCTCTATATCCATCAACTATTCTAAACCCTAAAAAGACACTGAATCCAACCCAGTTTATAGTCTACTTTATCAGATTTTTTCTATTTTCTTATTTTTGCACTGACAGGTTTATGATAGTTTATCTCACTTCCTTTTGACATAATTTTCCCTGAATGTACTATTAGTAAGAGAAATGAATGGACACTGGGTACAGCAGGGAGAGCCAGGAAAGGAAGTCAAAGAGCAACACGATCACTTTTCAGTCATCATATTGTCTGGTTTCCTCTGAAAAGTGTTTCACATAGTATTTTTCTTATTTTGTCCCATGTCTTTTTGCCTAGGTTATTCTAAAGATTACCCTGAATTAATCTGAATATTTTGGAGCCAAAGACACCTGGGTTTCAATCCTGGCTTTTTTATTTCTTAGCTGTCAGAATTTGTACAAATCTTGCTCTCTCATCTAGAAAGTGAAGATAATATGTTCCTCAGAGGCTTTTAGGTAAGGGTCCTTTCATCAAAAAGCAAATATAGGGCACCTAGCAATGCCTGCTAACTCCCTTCTCTAATTTGCATTCATTTTTGTTGTCTTGATGATCTAGCATATCACTAAAGCCCACATAGGTCTCTTAGTTGGGTACTTATGTGCCCTGTGGAGGGTGTTGGCCATATCTTAAACATCTATGCATCCCTGCCAGCACCCAACCACAAGCCCTGCCTCTCATGGGTGTACTATTGGGTCTTCCAGGCTCACCTGCACTTCCCTCTGCTCCATGAGGCCTTTCTGATCTGTGCCACCTACAATTATCCACCATGTGCAGAGCTTCCAAGTCACTTATTGGCTTTATCACTTCTGCACTTGCATGTCAGACTTGGCACGCTCACTTTCCTTCAAATGTAAACACATTTTTTGTATGCAGAGTGGGAATTATGTAACAATTGACATATGTATAATATAAGCTTGAGTTTTAGACAGTTGCAGACAAAGCCTCACTGAGTCTGAGAGTGGCTCCATTCTGAATATTAAGGGCATGGAGTTAATGAGAAGTTATCTAGAAACCAAGAGAAGATATTCCAGGACAAACCACTGAAATTCTTGGATCTGCCTGAAAAGCTCTAGGATGGAGGTCCAGAGATATGTTCTCCCTTAAAAAACATTTTATAACCTGGGGATCGTGGGTGGGTTCTACAGTTGAAACCATCCAGGCTTCAGGGACTACTGAGGGTCACAGGGCTCAGGACTCTTGGCAACATTAGGAAGGAGTTTCAAGGAGAGAGGAATCCAATCAGGCCGAGATCTGTAGACAAGAATTTTGCTGATGCTTGAATTCAGAAGTTTGGAATTAAACGGAGAGCTCCTTTCTGAGCTGTTGCTCTAAATCAGGGTTGGAAAATGACACCAGCAAGCTGAGAATGTTTTCTACACTATAAATACCAGAAGAAGGTTTACTGGAACACAACTGTGCTTATTTGTATACATTTGTATGGTTGCTCTCAAAGTGAAATGACTGCGACAGAGACTACACAGCCCACAAAGCCTAAGCTATCTGTCCCTTTACAGATACAGCTTGTTGCCCTGGTCTAAATAAAGTGCCAGTGGACACAGGCAAATGCTGCCTCTTTCCTCCACTTTCTGCATTGCCCCCCATGAAATCATTACCTTCCTGCACCAGAGCATCTTCCCAGTGGCCTCCAGGGCTCTTTTCTGTTGAGCCGAGAGGCCGTATCCCCACACTTTTACTTCAAGCGGTAATAATCAATCAACCCAACTGGCTAGAATAGAAAAGCAATCTATTCACCACCACACATGAAAGGAACAGGCTAGGCCAGTTATCTGTGGTAGAATTGGTCTCTGTAGTTCCTAGCCCTTGTCCCTGTGCCCTCTGAGACTGGTTATCCTGGGAGAAGGTCCCAGTAGTTCTAACTATGGAAACTCCTTATTTACCACTTAAGCTGTCTCACAAAGTCTGGCAAAGTCCTTCTAGAGAGTTGTGTTCTGAGAACAAAGCCTTGGAAATTGACTCCATAACCTCACTCACTTCTTTCTTCCCCAGCCATTTGCACCAGACCTGGACTCCAAGGTAAGATTTTGTGGGGTTTCTGAGAGGGAGGCCATGCCACCAAGCTCAGAAAAGGGAAATTTTTGAAGCTTCCTGAGCCATGGAGAGATCCTTGGGTTCAAACAGGCCCAGTAAACATCCTTTCTGTTTTCTTAGCCCACCTACTCCGTCTAGGTTTTCATATCCAGAACCTAGAAGTGTTTAGAGTGGTTTATCCTGGCAGGAGACTTCTTCCCACTTGGTTTCCATAGCTACTCCACCAGTATCCAAGCAGGAGACAGCTTCACCTCAGGTCTATAAGGCATTTCACCTTACTGTAGATATATCTGAGAAATGAACTTCCTTTTACTCTGCTGGTTTCCAGCATATCCAGGTCCCCCTTCCAGTCTTAATAGTACCTTTGTTTGAATAGAAATGCATCGGCTTCTATGCAGCAGATGACTTGACTAGTACAGTACAGGCTGGATTTCAGCCTCCGCTGCCTGCCTCCTTGAGAATTTTAGGTAATATATGAACTGTACACCCAAGGAGAGGGTGGGCCTTCACAGAGGGAATTAGTCTATGGGAGTAGAAGGCTATGGTCCAAATCCAGGGGAGTTGGGTGTGGATTATCAGTTTCTTTTCCATCGTTCCTTTAGTCTATCCTGTTTTTGGATGGTAGAGGCTTTACCTGAGAGGGATGGCTACAAGCTCTGCTGTTGGTATGAAGGTTCTTATACCCTGAAGGATGTGTTTTGATTCCTTAAGAAGTGCTGCTTGTGGGTTCTTCTTCTTCTTTTTTTTTTTTTGAGTTGGAGTCTTACTCTGTCGCCCAGACTGGAAGGCAGTGGCATACTCCTGGCCACTGCAGCCTCAACCTGCTGGGCTCCAGCGATCCTTCTGCCTCAGCCTTCCAAGTAACTGGAACTACAGGCGTGTGCTACCACACCCAGCTAATTTTTTTTTATTTTATTGTAGAGATGAGGTCTTGCCAAGTTGCCTGGGTGGATCTCGAACCCGTGGGCTCAGGCAATCCACTTACCTCAGCCTTCCAAAGCGTGGGATTCTAGGCTGAGCCACCGAGCCTGGCTGCTTGTGGGTTCTTATCCTGGTACTAGAATTACTTTCTTAGCCCTTCTATTTCATCAAACTGAATTACTTGCATACTTTTTCTGTTTTTCTCTTTTTTCTTTTTTGCATATTTTTTATTTCCTGGGAGCTGTTCGATAGAAAATGAAAATTCATTAAAAGCAAGAATTTTACAATTCAAAATGAAATAAGATATCGTGTACTTAATCCTAACAGCTAGTATTTCCTGGGGTACACAATAATGCAATCCAAACTCTAATCAGATACATTGGCCCCGAAGTTATTTCTGGGTAACTATTCTTGAATTATGTTTGTGCTTATATGTGCTTTGCTGAACTCTGGTCTGGTCACGGGGATCTTTGAGCTATGATCGCCAAGTTTCCTAGCTTTGGCCCCCTCCTCTACCTTGGGGAGGTGATTCCTCTCTCTATTCTCTCTCTCTCTACTTTCTAAATAAACTATATTTTCCAATCTAAAAAATTGCATAAGCCTTAAACTCAGATAGAAAAATCGAATTTTTTTTTTTAGTTTTTATTTTATTTTTTTTTAATTTTAAAAATTTAGGGTATGATTCAGGATTAGATACATAAGTGGTCATTGTACAGGTGAAGTTTGGGCCTCCCATTGGCCCTCACTTTGTCTGGTTTAAGATCAGTACCCTTATCAGTGTTATCTGCCTTCCCTCCCCTGGCAGTGATACACTACTGCCAATCTCTTTCATGGAGTATTATGATAGGTGTTCAGGGTCCACTTATGAGTGAGAACATGTGGTACTTAGTTCTTTGTTTCTATGATAGATCACTGAGTATGATAGACTCTAAATCCATCCAATTATGGACTTGTTGCAAAGTCCATAATTTTGTACTTTTTAATGACTCTGTAATATTCCATCATTTTTTTTAGTTTTTTATAGTCAAATTTTAATTTCAATCTGTAGTCTCCATTTGCATACTATTCTTCTCCTAAAAACTAAGGAAGAAAAGGAGAGAACCAAAAACACAAAAACAAACTAAACATAAACTTCTCAGAGTAGTTTAAAATCAGAGTTTTCTCACTCGACTACTTCTCCTGGGTTGATTTTCAGATTTATGGAGTTTGTACAGAGTTGAGACAAGGCAGGCAGTGGGACATCTGGTTCTCAGAAGTCCATCTGCATAGATATTCCATGTATTCAGGCACCAGGTCATCCCATGGAGGCTATGTTGGCCTTGATTAAGCTGTTCACATCCCAACAGGTCAGACACATCCAGGCCCGTGGCCTCTCCTGGAGTACCAGACCTCTCTTGTCCAACTGTCTTGCTCCATGTAGGCATAGCAAGTTCAGTGTCTGCTATATTGTTCTAAGCCTTCAGGAAACTTAGTGGAATGGCCAAGCCTACTTAATATAGGCTATTTGAGGGCAGCAAATGTATCTATCTTATTCATCACTGTTCTCCGAGTTCATAAAAAATACCAGAAACACAATACATGCTTAACAAATGTGTGCTGCCTGATGGGCTCTTTCCTGGCCTCCCTACACAGCCATATCTACTTTATTTGAATGTCTGTTCATCTTTTCTACCCCTAGAGTTCTAGTTAGGAAATGGAATCGAGTCCTGAATTCCTCAGAACTTATCTGAAGGCTCTATAGATCCTCTCTCCTGCCTCTATTCCCTAGAATCTTCTAGACCAAACTACTGGGGCTCTGAGATGCTGAAGCTCTGACTCTTCCCTTGCCAGTGCTCTCTGGGAGCTGGGTGTTTGGGCAAGGGATGGTGTCATAGGAAGCCACAAGGATGAATAGGCATAGGCCAGTGATAATGACAGAGAGTTTGGTTGTTCAGCCCAAATTATAGATACTACTTCAGTTTGGCTGCCATGGAGAGAGGCAGAGTGATGAAGAAAAAGCACAAGAGATATTACCTTTATGCCTGTCCTGGCCTGGAGCTTCCACTATTGGACAATGTGACCATAGGATCACCACTACCATGAGGGTCGTTATTCCCATCTGTGAATTAGTGGGATAAACTTGATGACTTCTATAGATTCTTCTGGTTCTGTTCACCAGAGAAATAAAATAACTGTTGAATCTTCAACCAACCTCTTTCCATCAATCCTCAAACTTAAAAAGCCAACAGTCACATCTATGCATCTTGAAGTGGAGTTTCTTGATAGGGTACAATGAAGAATGTAGTGGAATCAGAACTCAGAGATGGGGTCCTGAGGTTCTTCTTCCTTCCCTTCCTTTCTGATACCCCCTTTTCCAGTCCCCCAACTTTCCACACCCTCTGTCACTAGTGGAAGAGTCCCAACTTGACTATGTTCCTAAGCACCCTCTGAGTTCCTCCCAGATGTCTAGCATATAATATCTCGTTGCAGAGTCTCCATCCAGAGTGCGCCTGGTGGGAGGTCCCCACCGCTGTGAGGGACGGGTGGAGATAGAACAAAAGGGCCAGTGGGGTACCGTGTGTGATGACGGCTGGGACATGAAGGCCGTGGCTGTCGTGTGCCGGGAGCTGAGCTGTGGAGCAGCCAAGGGAACCCCCAGTGGTGTTTCATATGAACCATCAGCAGAGGAAGGACAAAGTGTCCTCATCCAAGAGGTCAAATGCAATGGGACGGAAGACACACTGGCTCAGTGTGACCTGGATGAAGATGTTTTTGAATGTTCATACAAAGAGCATGCTGGGGCATCGTGTGAGAGTGAGTATGACCTGTCAACCATCCATACCCCTTATGGCCACTCTCGTTGGTCTTTATTCCCCACCATGGACTTTCACACAGTGGCTAGATGGCCCCTTGTCCATTGCATCTCACACTTTTTCAATTGTGAGTGAAGATGAACCATGTCCTCACTTAGGATCATTACTCCCGCATGGTTGAGCCAATGCTTTTCTCCTAGTTTCAATCAATATGAGAACTTGTTTATCTTATTTACACATATGCAAGCAAACTAAACTAAATTGAACAGCATGTCCTGTATCTGGAGTGGGGGCAGGGGATGGAGTTATGGGAGAAGAAATGAGCTCACAAAGAATAACATATGTTTTTAAAATAGTTTTGGTTTTCATGGGATTTGCTCTCTAGTCAGGTAGACAAGAGATAGCCATAGGAAGCCAACCCAATCTCATATATAGACAGGTGATAGATACATAGATCTATATTTCTTTACTTCTCTACATATGTTTGCTTTCTATGTATTAAGAATTTCTCTTTCTCTGTGTATACTTTCTCCTCCATTAGACTGTATTTTGACTGAGGGACTAGTCTATGTCTCCTCCTTCTTTTTCTTCCCACAGAATTGATCATCAGAGAAACAACCACTTTTTGCCCTGACACTGAGTCTCATTTCTAGTTTTTAGAAAGGTTAATGACTGAAGTCACTTTTCTGGGGCACTTGGTTGATAATGCTTACAATGAACCAAAAAGTTTTTGGTTTGGGGAGCATCTGTAAATTATTATTATATTTATTTTTAAAAAATCTATACAATGTCTCTAACTGCCTTTTGTGAGGAGCAAATGAGAAGTTGAATGTGAAAATAATTTGAAAAATTAAAATGTTACTAAAATGATAATAATTCAACCTAAAGCTGAGAAGCTACATTTCCTTCATGGATTTACTCATCCATCCTTTCAACAAGCATCTACCTATTAGGTAGCATTAAGCACTTTAGCATACATTGTTCTGAACACCCAGAACTGGGAGATGTATCCCGTGGGCCATCTGCACTAAGACCATGTTCCTGTGGGGAACACGACACTTACTTTTTCTCTCTCCCCAGAACCAGAAAGCTCTTTCCCCCTAGTCCCGGAGAACGTAAGGCTGGCGGTTGGTCCTGGGCACTGCCAGGGGCTGGTGGAGGTGAAGTACCAGAACCAGTGGAGCACAGTGTGCCAAACAGGCTGGAACCTTCAGGCCGCGCAAGTGGTGTGCCGGCAGTTGGGATGCGGGAGGGCCCTGATGACCGAGAGACGCTGCAGCAAGGCTACCCAGGGCCAAAGACGCATCTGGCAGAGACAGATATCATGCTCAGGACGAGAAGTAACCCTTCAGGATTGCCCTTCCGGGTCTTGGGGGAAGAACATCTGTACCCATGATGAGGACACATGGGTGGAGTGTGAAGGTAATACCTATGCGTCCAGAGGCAAGATTTATTTGTGGATTTAATTAAATGAAATCTCAAACAATGCTTACAAAGATCTACTCATACGTCAGGGGGATATTGCAAACATATTTAATCGTTTTGATAATTCTTTCTCCTTTTCTTTCTTCTCTCTCTCTCTCTCTTTCACTTTCTCTCTTTCTCTCAGGATCTAATTCTGTCACCCAGACTGGAGTGCAGTGACATAATCACGGCTCACCACAGCCTTGAACTCCTGGGCTCAGGCGATCCTTCTACCTCAGCCTCTCAAGTAGCTGGGACTAAAAGCAGGCACCACTACACCCAGCTAATTCTTTTAGACAAGATTTAGACAAGTTCTTGCTATGTTGTCCGGTTGGTCTTGAACTCCTGGGCGCAAGCAATTTTCCCGCCTTGGCCTCCCAAAGTGCTGAGATTACAGGCGTGAACCTTCATGCCCGGACAGTTCTCTTGTTTTTAAAATGAGGATAATAATACCTACCTTTGTATATGAGAATGCTTTAAATAATATTAAGCACGATATTAATATGAACCATTATTATATTGAATTCTACATAATAGGGATACATTCCATGTAACTGTTAAGTTTTTCAATTTTTATAACTACCAGAAATTCATTTGTAAATATTAGATTTATAAATTAGATGGGACTTAAAAAGATCCTAGTTAGGGCAATGAACCTGGTTCACAAAGGTTAGGACTTGACAGAGACCTAGAGAAGGAACGGAAATCACTGATACACTTGTGGACGATTTCAAATGCACTGACGGGTTTGAGGATGTAGGTGATCTTATTTTTCTTCTCTCCAATCTCCCTGACTTTCTCCCCCATCTTGCAGGTGCCTTTGAATTGAGATTAGTAGGAGGAGACAAGCTCTGCTCTGGGCGGCTGGAGGTGCTGCACAAGGGTGTATGGGGCTCCGTCTGTGATGATGGCTGGGGAGAAAAGGAGGACCAGGTGGTGTGCAAGCAGCTGGAATGTGGGAAGTCCCTTTCTCCATCCTCCAAATTCCGGAGACGCTATGGCCCTGGGGTCGGCCGCATCTGGCTGGATGATGTTCAATGCTCAGGGGAGGAGCAGTCCCTGGAACAGTGCCGGCACAGGTTTTGGGGGTATCACGACTGTACCCACAAGGAAGATGTGGCTGTGATCTGCTCAGGTAAGTCTTATGGATGGAGTTCACGAGGGCTGCCATGGAGGGTGATGAGGGAAGAGGGGCAGAGGGGTGAGCTCTAGGGATAAGGGTAGCTTGACAGTACCATGGAGTTGCCTATAGTCATGACCTGCTCTATGGGTACTTCCAGGGATAAGACTGAGTTTCCGCCCACCCCGGGCAGGGGTGGTATGGGACAGGGTAGGGCTGACACCAGGAATACAATAAAAACATACAAATATTAAGTGTGAGGACAAGAGCTGTTTTGAAAATTATTTGATCAACATCAAAATTATTTATATTAAACAGAAAGTGAGAGTCAGAGAAAATGAGCAACTCTCTCATATCATCAAAATTACTTTACAATTATATAACAGACTATCATGAATAGTCTTTACTCTCAATCCAGGTTAGCTCTCTTAGATGACTCCAACCTTCAAGCCCTAATTTTAAACTATGGATGATGGGCCCACCTCATTCTGTTTATTGTCACTCCCCAGATTTTAAGTAGTCTTTTGAGTGTGGTAGGGGGCTTTTTGAGAATGTCTGTGAGAAATTCTAATGTGAGAGGCCAGGATACCAGCCCTGGACTGTAGACCTCTTCAAGAGAGGAAGGGAGAATACCTGTCTCAACTTAGGTGAGAAAATGCAAGTGCAGCCCCTGGGTGGTTGACTCAAGAGAACCCAGTTGAATAATCAACGTGGGCCTATTTGGTTAAACAATTAACTTTGGAACTAGGTAAGAGCTGATAGTTGATCAAGGAATGTGGGGAGCAGTTAGTGCTCAGAGAAGGATGGATTTAGTGACAGGAGGCTAGGGTTTGAGCCTTGCTGTTGCAAAGTATAAGTGCAGCCCCCGGGTGACTGACTCAAGAGAGCCCAGTTGATTAATCAACGTGGGGCTATTTGGGGCTGAAAATTACTCTCTGTGTAATCTTAGTCACTTAACTCCTCTGAAGCTAAGCGTATTCTTTGGTGAAATAGACACTTGTCTCAAAGACTCAAAGACTCTGTGATCGCGCAAGAGTGAGACATGTTCATGTACATGACTGCCGTTTGTGACTCACATGGGAACTGGTTGAATAAGTCCTTGGAATACTGTACCAGATTCTGACCTGGCTCACACCATTGTGGGATATGTATGTAGCTTGGCTGTCTTTCCTATTCTGGGTCCTAGTCTTCTTCCTTAGCTGATTTGAACTTGAATGGAATAATCCCTGCCTGGCCTTACTACATTTTCCTCTTCTTTTTACAGGAAAGCAACCTGGCCTTCTTGATGCTTGACCTGGTCCCACTGGCCCTGCCTCTTCCCTCTTTGTTCTCCAGGGCTCTGATTATCTTTGTGCTCATGCTGGGCCTTATGCCTGAGCCACATTCCCCCCTCCCTTAGGAGTTCAAACACTGCTTTTGCCTTGCTCTCAGGGTCAAACACCTCCCAGTGCTGTCACTAGATATGAGCTGTTGCATTCCCTTTTGCTGGGGAAGGTGAGCTTCCGTTGCCTTGGTGTTGGGTTTTGACTTTTTCTGCCTCTTCCCAAGCTGCCTGGAAACCTCAGGTCTATCCCTTTGACCAGATATGGAGGCCATTATTGAGGCAAGATCTACGTTTGTCTGTAAAGAAGCTGAAAGGAGTGAAACTTTGAAAAAAAATTTGAATAGACTATTTTTTTCAAACTTGTAGGGGAAAGCTTAGAGTCTTTTTAAACATTTTTTTTCTCAAGCTTCCGATGATCACAATGGTAACACCTCACTGCTCTGTTATTTCTTGGTGAAAGCAGACCATTCTTTCCACACCAGAGCAGTGTGCAGTAATCCTAGACCTTTTCAAGATACTAAAAAAAAAAAAATGATGTTTAATCCTCTGATTGCCCCAATAAAATATCTTTGTTGTCCATCCTTATGCAACCTGCCCATATAGTTTACATTTAACAAGTGGAATCTCACAAATACATTTTAGTTTTTATTTTGCTTCACTTTATTAGGAGAAGGTCAAGAAAGAGGCAAAAAGAAGTCTGAAGTTGTGTCTCATGCCAATCAGAAAATATCATTTCCAGCTTATCAACAGAGACTTTGGGACCCATAAACCTGAGGCAATACAGAATGGTACTAAGAAAAGCATTAAGACTTAGTTGTCAACTTAAACTTAGTTGTCAACTTTAGACTCTGAGGCTAAGATGAGTACTTATGATAGGACTGTGTTTATACTGTTTAATCAGTCAAATCTCACAGTCTCAAAGGTTGCCTGCCTGTGTGATATGCTCTTTCTGCCCATATGGAAGCAGGTGTGTCAGCTTCTCCAGAATGGACTTTTAAAAGCAGGGTTAGGTAGAAAAGAACCTTCTGGCGAATACAACCATATTTGTATAATAACTTTCTTCTGGGTATGGAACTCTCTGTTTGTTTCCTGTTCTAGTTTGTGTATCTGACCTCAGTTCTGCTGTTCTTATACTTTAAGCTGGCATATGTGTAATAATCCAACTCTGATTTCATGTCTTTCTATTCTGACATCTTTTTTACTTTGCTTCTAACTAGTGTATTTATGTTTCTAACCCAGAACCACACTGGCCTATGGCTTCTGACTCTGTCTCACTCTGTTAGAGCAGTTCAATAGTTAAGGCAAGACAGTGAGTGGGAAGAAGAGCACAGTGAACAGTTGAATGGGAGAAGGGTGGGAGGGATAGAGCCCCAAACTTAGCTGGGATTCAGGAGGCAAAGTTGTGATTCCCTCAGTCACTACCTGTCCTAGAGGATTCATTTCTATAGCAGTAGGCAAAAACACTGAAGAGAGAATAGATTTCCAATGTTGTGAAACTGAAATGATGGAATAATGGGGCCCTTTGAAAAACGAGTCCCCAAGGAAATGCAAAGAACTGATGTTTTGTGCTGATAAGACATATCCATTCATTAGATTCAGTGTGTGCTTGTCATTTTACTGTGCATTATTCAGATAAGAAAAGTGAGAGAGATCACTGACAGAGAGAGTTAGAATCTAGTACACTAGCTTAGGATCTCACAGCTGCTAGTGACACTGGAGTGTGTTTCTGCCTCCTAACCAACTGTTCCATTGTAGTTCAATCTGCTGAATAAATATTTAAGAGAGAGCATAGGAAACTGGGTAGAGAAACCTAGCCTCATAGAAAAGAAGAAAATGCCTTACCACATGGATCAAAGAACCAGAGAAAGCTGTTCCACAAAGATATGTGGTTAAGAGTGAAACAGATGCACAGAGAGGAACACAGGTGAGAGACAAAGAGATCCCAGAAAGTTTTTTCAATTTCTGGTTCTTATCTCTTCCTGGGGTCCAATGGCATCTCTGGTCTTGGGTTTTGTGACTAACTGCCATAGGCTCATAATAATTTTAAAATTTTTATCATGTTGGTTTTTGTACTTCTAAACGTAACTCAAACCAATTTACTTATTTCAAATTAACAAGTGACCATTCATCTTTTGCAAGATTTATTAGATAAGCCCAGTTATTAGTCATGATAGACTCTGATTGCATTTATAAAACCAAGTTTCTTGTTCTGAAAAGATGAGGACCAGTCAGCCTATAACAGAGGTATACTCCAAGATATTACTCTTGAATGGCCCTGGCTGTATGGATGCCCAACAAACCTGTTTTACACAGATGACAATTAAAGAGTATGGCCTCTGCATTAAAACGCAGATCCAATGAAGGCAGATCACAGAAGATAGGCAACTCAAAACTGACAGTGAGGCATGCTTCCTCTTCTTCTGTTGAAAAGATTTCCTTCAACTTTTCTACCTGGTAAGCTTTTAATTATTTTCACTGACTCATTTGTCTTTTAAAATGTTCTTTAAATATGATTGCAACCATGCTTAAAGTCCCTTGAGATCTTCTCGTGGCACATAAATGTAAACTTCTTGCTTTGATTTAAAGGGTTGTGCGTAACCTGGCCCCACCTACTCCTCCAGTCTTATCTCATGCTAGTCTCCTCCTCAAGCAGCCCATTCCAGCACACGATCTTTCTATCCCTTCCTAAAACACAACAGGTATGCCGAAGTGGGGTAAGTCTTCCAGAGGAATAGGCTTTTGGTAGAGAAAAGACCTATAAAAATCTCTGTTTGGGTAGGTTGAGTCTGATACCTGTTAGACCTTTATGTGGAGATAATAAGTAGCAGTTTAGGAAAATGGTCTGGACTTGGAGATGTTATCTGGAAGATTATTGCATATCTATGATATTCAAAACTATGAGACTAGAGGACTTTATGTCATAAGAAAATAAGTGAGACTAAAAAAAGAGAAAAGATTCAACAATTGAGCCTCAGGGCACAGCAACATTTAACCTGGATTCCTCTTAAACAAAGACTTAGGTGCAGATTTTCTATGGGGCAGTAATTTCAAGATAAACTTGTGAGGGACTAAGGAAAGTTAATAGGAAAGGAAGAAAATCCAATAAAATGAGTATTAACGAGTTGGCAACTGCTATGGGCAACTAGATCTGCTTTCCGATGGAGATCTTCTTAGGCACACTGTAAAAATCGTTTCAAAATTTTCTCACCAAGGAATGAGGAGGCTGAAGTATTTATCTGCCAAATTCCATATCGAACTGAATGAGAGTTGCTCCTGTTGGTGTTAAACCTTGTTTATGGGCTAAGCAAACTGTTGAGTACCTGTGAAAACTACAGGTAGAAAAGCTAAGATGTGCTCACTTGAGGTAAGAAGTTGTCTGCACGGACAAGACCCATGCACCACAAGTGTAGCAGACAGTGGAGTGAAGTACATTTGAGATTGTGGCATCTTTGAAGCCAAATGAAGAAAATGTTTCAAGAAGGAGATAAGTATTAGCAGGGTTGATGGATCAAGTAAGATGGCTGAGAATTGACTATTGGATTTGACACTTTGATGTCCACTTTTCCTAGGGGAACCATCGAGGTCCTGTTATCTTTCTAGAGCAATGCAAGGACATGAGACTCGCATTGTTGTCTCACACAGAATCCAGAGCCATTCAATTCCCTGGCCCTGTGGGATCTATCGCCCTCTC